GCTCAGGTACAGCCCCTTAACTGTCCAGCGCCTTGGCACATGAAAGTTACTGTGTAAATGCAATGTGTTGTTGCTCTCTAACCACGAGAGTCACAAAGCACCAGCCCGCATAACACTGTCACTATTGCAGCACAAGGGCACACCCTTCAAGACGGGTGCAGAGCGGGGCGGTGGGAGGGGGGAGGAAGGAGATAAGAGAGCTTCAAAAATCAGTCGCTCTCTCTAGCGTGAATTCCGTGTTCTTTAGGCAACAAACAAGGGAGTGGATTCTTCAGCTGTTTCTCTATTACTCAGAAATAATAGTGTTAATCATCCTTGCGTTCGATACAGCGCCTTATCACATCTTCGAGACGTCTCAGGTGGAGTGACTGTATGTTTTGTGGGCGAAACGCGGCAGCCAATTGCTCACAGCAGGGTCTCCACAAACAAGTTGTGGATTGAGTGACCAAATTATTATTATTGATTTGTCTTTTTTTTTTTGGAAGGGGTTATTTATTACCCCTTCGGAAAAGCGATCGACCCATCGACTAACAACCGGGTCCCTGCTCACTGTTAGGTAAACAGAGGCGTGTGGAACGAGGAAACTTGCCTCGGGTCTCACCCTGACCCGCCCAGGAATTGAACCCAGGTCCTCTCGCTCGCTCGGAATGGCAAGTCGTTAGCATTCTCTCTCCCGCACCCCCCCCCTCGCACTCTCGCTCTCTGGATCGCTATCAAGCCAACTCTATTCTGCTGGAGGTACAGTTTGTTCCCGACTACATCTGTGAATTGTCATAAACGCCATGGAATGTTGGCAGCACATCCCAATCGGTGACGTCATCAAACGGAAAGGCTGCGATCTGGAGCCAGAGAAACAGAAACAGACAGTATTCCAGGGATTCAGAGCAGCAGAGAGAGAGAGAGGGACACGCACACACATACAGAGAGAGAGAGAGCCACGGAGAGGGAGAGGGAGAGAGAGAGAGAGAGAGAGACAAACACATAAATAGAAGGAGATACTGAGAGCGAGGGGGGGGAGAGAGAGAGAGAGAGAGACAGAGAGAGAAAAACACTGAGGGAGAGACGCAGAGAGAGAGAAAGTGAGGGAGAGATACTGAGAGGAAGAGCGAGATACTCAGAGGAGGATAGAGAAGAGAGTGAGATATAGAGAGATACACACTGAGAGAGGGAGAGGAGCTCACAGAGAGAGAGAGAGAGAGAGAGAGATACTTGCTGTGAATGAGCAAGATATTCGAGGGGGGGGAGAGAGAGAAAGAGAGATAAAGAGACAGGTGGGGGGAAGAGAGTGAGAGAGAGAGAGAGAGAAAAATTGGGAAAGGAGATAGATACTCAGGGGGGTGGAAGAGAGAGTAAGAGAAGGAGAGAGCGCGGAGAGAGAGAAGGGGCACAGATCGAAAGAGAGAGAGAGAGGGGGTAAGAGACGAGCCTCTTAAGTTTCCCCAAAGGTCCTTTGAGAGGAGAGGCTCATTCACTGAGCTGCCTATCGGGGTTCGGGGTTGAACGGAGCAACTAAAAGTGGCTGAAATGCAAACCAGAGAAAAAAAAGTCTCAAAAGTGTTCAACTCAAAGCAGAAACGTGTGTGTCCGTGCGTGTGCGTACGCGCGTGTGTGTGGGTGGGGCGGGGGGGGAATGATCTCATCAATTGGCTCAGAGGGCGCATAAAATGGCCGACTACTAATCAGCCGTTATCTACAGGTTTGGAGCATCGGAAGAAGCCAGAAGCCAACGGGGAAATTGGGGGTTAAATGGTGGGCGGGTGGTGTTGCGGGGGGGGTTTGGGGGGGGGAGCTTACGTCATGCAATGCGGAGTGGGGAGGAGTGGGAGCTGGGGGGAGAAGAGATTCATCCTGTCTCTCTATCGGTGCTGTCCCTGATCTTCTGCCGGTGCTAACGGCTCAAAAATGACGAGCAGAGAAATAACCAAACAATAGGCGGTTGGAAGAATGGAAACCAGAGAGAAATAAGGGACAGCCCCGACCGGGTGGGAAGCAGAGTGGGCGAGGGTACGGAAAGATCATTTCTCGTCTTGTTTTTCCATAGTTTGGAGCGGCCGAGAGAGAGAAAAGAGAGAGAAAAGAGAGAGAGCGAGGGGGGGGAGACAAAGAAAGATTGAGGGAAAGAGGGGAAGACAGAGAGAAAACTGTGGAAGAGAGAGAGAGAGAGACACACAGACGCAGGTGGGGGTGGGGGGGGGGAGAGAGAGAGAGAGAGAGAGAGAGAGAGAGAGAGGGAGAGAAAGAGGAGATAGAAAAAAGCATCAAGAGAAACTGAAGTGGGAGAGAAGGAGAGAGCGAAAGAGACAGAGGATGGAGAAAGAGGAATACAGGAACAGGAGTGGGACATTCAGCCCTTCGAGCCTGTTCCACCATTCGATTGGATCATGGCTGACCGTGAAGAAAATGAAAAGAACGTTGGGGAGAGAGAGAGGGAGGGAGGGAGGGAGGGAGGGAGGGAGGGGAGTGCGGTGGGGGTGGGGGGAAAGAAAGAGGAAAGGATCAGGACACAAGAAAGAGGACGCTTTGTACTTTTGTGGTGAGGACGACAATTCTGGATGGTTATCAGAAGAAAGTAGCCACAAAAAGTAAAAAGATATTCGAGAAAACATCTTTCCTGGCTGGCTTCGAACACTCGAGTCCAAAGTCCTGGTGCAAACAGCTGAGCAAATAAAAGTCAGGCACAGGCACAAATTGGCGAGATACATTTTGCCCGTCGCCTTGTGGTATTCGGAGAATAAGTGAGCCGTCAGTGAGGAGAACCATGTTCTGCCTCTCCCCCCCCACCCCCAAATAACACATTCATGGGAGTCCTGAAGTGTTAGTGGCTGTCGCGCTCGCCTCGCCAGCCAGAGGACCCCCGGTTCGAATCCCGGGCAGAGCAAAACCTTAGGCGAGTTTCCTCACTCCACCCTCAGTGCCTCTGTTTACCGAGCAGTACGTTGGAACCCGGTTGTTAGCCGATCGGTGGATCGCTTTCCAGGGGTAATAATCCCACTCCTGAAAAATGCACTCACCCAATCCACGAGTGTTTGTGAGGGGTGGACACTGCTGTGCGCAATTGGCGGCCGCGTTTCGCCCACAAAATACACAGTCACTCCACGTTCCAGTATATTCCGAGAAGCGCTTTGAGACGTCTCTAAGACGTGATATATAAAAAGAAAGCAATAATGAAACAGATTGAGCAATTAACTCTAGATTTCCCCCTTGGTTCCTGGGGGAATAAACTGCGACGTGTCTTTTTGCCCGTGTCCTTTTGCACGAGCAGAAAGCGATTCAATGGAGTCGGGAGCGAAATGTGAAATGACTGTGAATTCAGAGAGACAGCGAGCAGACAGAACTGCGTTAGCAGCGAAGGGAGGTTAGACCTGAAAATCCATCTCCGTCAGAAAGGAACCATTAATAAGCATCAGGTTCGTTTAAAGCTGGCATCGTTTTGCTCTCTTCACAGCGCGTGGTGTAAAGGGTAGAGTGAGGTCGTGATGGATAGACTGACCTTTCTCTCAGCCGTCAAGACAATGGTAATTTCTGGTGGCTTTTTAAAAGGAGAACACCCGAGATATATTTCCTCGTTCCCTGCAGCTAAAATTCAGAGACTGTTCCCTTTCCCTCTTATTGATAATAATCCTCACGTTTGACAGCGTGTCGTGGGGACAGCGAGAAGAACAAATGACATTTACAGGGCGCCTTTCACGTCGGGAGGACGTCCCAAGGCCCTGGGATTTGGAACCGAGCTGGGGGTTGGGATCAGGAGGGTTGGAGGCCAGGGAGAGTGACTGAAGATGTCCAAAGAGGAAGGTCTTGAGACGGATCTTGAGGGAGGGAGGGAGGGAGGGATGTGAAGGGACTCTGGGGCCAGAGAAGCTGAAGGCCTGATCGCTGACGGAGCAGGGCAGGGCAGGGCATGTGGAGCAGGCGGAGGGAGAGGACAGGATTTTTAGGAGGTCGGCTCCAAGCCATCGCTCTCTACACGAGGAACAAATGCAACGATGTTTGATGACATCAACGCAAACCCTTGACTGTCCGGGGCCTTGGGACGTCCACCCAATGTGAAAGGCGCTGTGTAAATGTCATTTGTTGTTGCTGAGAACAGTCAAACCCACCACAGAACTCGTCTCGTGCACAGAGCAGATCACACAGGTGGGGAATCTGAAACTCAGGTATATCTCGAGTGCAAGGCTTTTTATACACAAGATATATATATATACACATATTATATCTAGATAACAATAACAAACATTCCTCGATACACAGCTTAGCTCGCTGACAACACCTCAGGGATTGTGTGTGTGTGTGGGGGGGGCGGGGGGGGGGGGGGCGTGGGGGAGGAGGCAATAAATCAGCCACAACAACACTGAAGCCGAAAGTTATATCTAAAAATTTGCAGCTAAAATTAGGACTTTCACTGTGTGTGTGTGTGTATATATATATATATACACATATATATATTGAAAAAGGGGCTAAATTAAACAGAAAAGCTCAGGAAGCTATTTTGCAAAGCGACCTCGATCACACGCTATGGTAAAATCAAAACGGTGGTTTGTTTACAACGCAGGAAGCTTGCCCTTCCCTCCCCCCCCAACCCAAACCCCCCCCCCCCACCACTCTCCGCTCGCTCACTCATTCCCCAGATGATGATACATTTGGCCCAGTATTCACTGTACATACTGTACTCTTAGCCCTTTGGATTCCAGCCCAGGTTGGCCGGAGGCCAGATCTTCACAATAACAAACACTGTCAGGCCATCAGAAGTCTGGGGAAGGGGGGGGGGGGGAGAATGAAATGAACGGGAGCTAGTGGTGGTGGGGGGGGGGAAGGGAAGAGAGCGCAAGCAAGCGAGCGAGAGGAACTATACCACAACTCCCTCACTCAAACGCACCGCAGCCTCTTCCATCAATTCAAAATTCTGACACTTTTTTTTAAAAGAAACAGCGGCCTTCAGCCCCTCGACTCCCCGCTACCCCCCACCACCCCACGCGCCACCCCCCCCCCCCCCCCCACCTTACCCGAGTGAGAGAGAAGATGCATCCGCAGTCTCAAGCTGTCCAGGAACTTTTTACCGCACAGCTCACACCCGAATGTCTTCATCCCACTGTGTAATTTCCTATAGCGAGAGAGAGCGAGCGAAAGAGAGAGAGATGTACAGGAATCGAGAGGGGTGGGTGGGTGGGGAGGAGGGGAGAAAAAAGTGTCAGTACAATACGAGCCCCACAAATATCTGAGGAATGTTAACTTCTGCCTCCCGCCCGCCTCTCCCGTTCCGTTAACGCCACCAAAACATCATCACTGGGTCTCTTCCCCAAAGTTTGTCGACTTTAGAATTCTGTTCATCTCGTTTCCCTCGCGCCCCACCAACCCCCTCCCCACCCCTCGCCACCTTCCAACACAAGGAAGATTAATAACGAGGTCCGTGGTCTTCAAACCTCTTAATTGTTTTCTCTCGCTGTCCTCTTCCAGTCAAATGGTCTTTGGAAATGTCCCCAAAGATCGCTTTCCCCTCACTCGCCCTTTCCCACTTTAAAATCGGGTTTAAAAACCTTTCCCTTTGCTCATCAAACTTCAATAATAAACTCCCACCTTCCCCCTTCCAACACCCAAACCCCCCCCCACCCCCATTGCCTTTTCTTTCCCCCCCACCCCCCACCATGTTCATCCTATGCAAATTATACTGTGTTCAGGGCAAAGTTCTTCTATGTCCAACAACAACTTGCATTTATATAGCCCCCTTCACGTCAGGGACACGACACCCAAGATTTAAGATCATGAGGAGTGGAGGGCAGGGAGGGTAGGGGTAGGAGGGTGCCCGAAGGCACAGTCGAAGAGGAGGGTCTTGAGACGGGCCTTGAAGGAGGAAAGGAAGGGGACGAGGCGAAGGGACTGTGGGATGGAGTTCCAAAGGGTTGGGGGCAGAGAGAAAGGGTGGAGGGCGAGGGGTGTGGGGGAAGATGGTCGGAGAGGAAGGTTTTGATGGAACCACAGCCCTGGGCTCTTGTGAAAGCGATTGTGACATGTGCAAGACTGTTCGAAGGTTGTGCAAGAGACGAGAGCAGAACCAACAGCCCCTGCACAAGCTCCGCACAACACGTGAACGACCCTGCCCTCCATTCACCCGCCATTACTCGGGAGAGAGACCCCTAGTGGAAGGTAGGGGCACACCCATCTCAGACCATCTCGATGTCCATCAGCAGGTTCCTACTTACTGCTGGGTGAACAGAGGCGCGTGTGGAGTAAGGAAACTTGCCTCAAGTTTCGCCCCGCCCAGGAATCGAACCCGGATCCTCTCACTTGCGAGGCGAGCACGCGAACCACTACATTACAGGCCTCCACAAAAAAGGCAGAGTAGAACTCGTGAAGAAAAGCTTCTCAAGTCTCCGAAGATTTCGAAGACGGTCGGAAATAAAAAGTGACCCAAACCGATCAAACGCCCGTGACTAGCAACATGTTGGGGGGGTGGGGGGGGGGCATCAAACAAGTTAAAAAAATCTTTGTCTGCAAGCTTACTGATTTAAACAAAAAAAGTGAGCGCTCTTTAGCCAAGAGGAAAAGGAAAGCAAAGGAGTTCTGCCATTGCAGAAAGCCCCACTGATCCAGCTCATTCGTCCGAAATAGCAAAATCAATAAGGTATCGAGCGGGTTATTTCATTTTAATTGATCGGACAACGTGGAAGATCAATGCAGGTCATGATATAGAATGGCAGTGCATCTGTAATTACAGCTGTTAACATGGTTTAATTGTGTTATCTGGGCACTGCGGTTTTCCTACTCAGCTCCTCCTATATTGCACGCATCCTCTCTCTTTCTCTCGCTGCGTTTGTTCAAATCATAAGAACGTACAACTTATTTATTTATTAACCCGGTTGTTAGTCGATTGGTCAATCGCTTTTCGGGGGTAATAATCCCTTCGAATAAAATTACTTTAAAAAAATAGTGATTTGGTCACTCAATCCCACGACTGTTTGTGGGACGCTGCTGTGCGCAATTAATTTGTTTCACCCACAAAACACACAGCCAATTCACTTCACTATATATTCTGTGAAGCGCTGTGAGACGTCTCGAAGACTTGATAAGGTGCTGCATCAAATGCAAAGATTATTATATTATTATGAATATATAGAATTTGCTCAGCAAAAGAAGACCAAGGTCCATTTACCACTCACTGAACTAGTGTTTCGACAGATTTGTTCTGAATTTACCCCCTTTCAATCAGGCCTTATCCTCTGGTTCTACTGTTCAGTACAAGATAAAATAGCTTATCAAGGTCTATATTATCTAGTCCCTTTCGATAATTCGGTTGAATAAGTACTCCGCACTCCCCACCCCGTGCCCCCACCCCCAATAACATTGTCTCTGGACACACGCACACACAAGTGCAAGCCCACAAGCATACGCACGCACGTAAGCACACACCCACCCTGTCCCTGTATAAAATATCCAAGGCAATCTAGAGAACAGCAAACATTGCTAAACACAGTGCTTGTCTTATCACCTCAAAACTTCTCAAAGCCTTCACACAATGGGTGCTTTGGAGGCGTGGTGACTGATGTGCGCCCCCCCGACCAAATTAAGTCACTAGATGAATGGACGCAGCGAGAGACCGCGCCAAGGGGTGAGGGGTTTGCAAACCCCCGCGGAATGATCGGGAAAGACGGAGAAAATCAGATCATTGAGCAGCGCTGAGGCAGCCCAGGCCTTTGAAAGATCTCTCCACCTCCCTTTCCGACTTCACTACAACAACCACCACCACCACCACAAAATTACATTTATAGAGCGCCTTTCACGTCTCAAAGCGCTGAAAGTTTTTAACGTCCTTCACACAAGTGGTATCTGTATAAAATTGGAACAGCTCTCTCAATGTGACCCCAACTCTCACTCTGCCCCCCCCCCCCCCCCCACCCCAAGCCTTGGCTCTTGCCAACCTGCACCTAATACTTTCCGGAGTTAGGTAAGCAGGATACATCCCTCCAGCGCGCGGGGAGAGAGAGAGAGAGAGAGCGCATTCCATTCCAACAATCTATCTCAGGTATTTCCATGTGTAGGTGAGATGCCTGGAATTCTCATCTTGGTTTGGAGACTCTTAAGCAGCGGTGATGGGTTTCCGTGTTTTATATATAAAATGTGTAGAGGTATATATAAAGTGTGTGTATATATATATATAAAATGTGTGTATATTTATATATAAAATGTGTGTGCAGATATATATATATATATATATATAAGTGTGTGTATATATAGATATATATATATAAAGTGGGACAAACCAAGTGGGACTTGGCGGGGAGAGGAGGGGACAAAGCATCTTAGTTATCAAAAAGTCAAAGTGTGTTCTGAGCAAATATCATTAGTTATGAAATGTACTGAAAATGGATTGAGGTTTATTTTTTAAGTTGGGTGAATTATCGCTCATCTCCATCTCCTTCAGGCAGGAAATGAGTCTGTTCAGATCAGTTATTAAATACAAATATGCTCAGGTTTTTTTTTACACACACACACTCCCCCCCCCCCCCCCCCCCCACAACCCACCACTCCAAAACCATCCCCTGCTGACACACGTTCCTTTGCTCTGATCCCCCCCCCCCGCACCCAGAGCTCATCACCAAAGACCCCCCCACCCAATCAAACATAACACCAAACAGGAGATTGAGCAGCTACAAGTCATTAAGTGCGTCTATGAGCAGCTCAGAGGGAGAACTTCAAAGGAGAACGGCCTCCACCTCTCATTCCTCCGCCAGCCACCCCTACCCCCCCACCGCTGCTCTCTTCTCTTGCCCACCTTCCCCACCGCTCTCTGCCTATCCCCCGCCCCCCCCTCCCCCCCCACACACCATACCACAACTCTCTCTCCCCTACCCGCCTCCCCCATCTCCCTTCATGATACCCATTAAGGTAGCACAGGAAACAATAATAATAATCCTTGCATTCGTTGAGACGTCTCAAAGCGCTTCACAGGAGATACCGGAAAGTGAAATGACTGTGTATTTTACGGGTGAAACATGGCAACCAATTGTGCACAGCAGCGTCCCACAAACAGCCGCGGATTAAGTGACTACATTTTTTTTGGAAGGGATTATTACCCCCGGAAAAGCGATCCATCAATCGACTAACAACCAGGTTCCTACTTCCTGCTGGTAAGCAGAGGAGTGTGGAGTAAGGAAACGTGCCTGAGGTTTCGCCCTGACCCGGGAATCGAACCCCGGTCCTCTCGCTAGCGAGGCGAGGGCTCTAACTACTAAGCTCCAGCACTCCACCACACCCGCCTCTCTCTGCCGCCCCCACCCCCCACCCCACACACACAGACACACACCCTCCTCCATATCCCCTTCATCCTACCCATTAACGGAGCACAGGAAATGCTTGGAGCTGGGACAACATGGCTGCTCTTAGCCTCAGTTCTTTCCGCGGTGACTGACTGACGGTGGAGTCCGGGATTGACGGAGTCCCAGAAAAAAAACCCTCTCCCCCTTCCCCCCACCACCCAACCCCCACCACATTCTTCCATCTTGGTCCTCTCCACAAACGCTGTCCTACAGAAACCCAATTGTTCTTTAACTCCTTCAGCAGCCGATTAACCTTATCCTATCGTTAAAACTCATCCCCATCCTCCTAGCCATCAAACTCAGTTGCCCTACCATCAACCACCAGCACCCCCCACCCCCCAACCCACTCGTAAATGATTCCTCACCTCTTCTCCCCCCCCCCCACCACCATACCAACACCGTGACATTTTAGAATATTCAAAGTCATTCAATCAACCCACGTCACTGGTTGTGGGCTGATATTCCAGTCCTGAGCACATGCTCAACCCATTCATTTCGAAAAGAGAGAGAGGAGAGCAAGAGGAGGAGACACAGAAAAGAAAGAAGAAAGAACGAGAAAAGAGGAGAGAGAAAGAGGAGGAAGAGGAGAGAGAAGAGACACAGAAAGAGAGAAAAAAAGACAAGACAGAGAAAGCGTAGAGGAAAAAATAAAGAGAGAGAAACAGAGAGGAAGAGAGATAGAAAGAAAAAAAGAGAGAAATGGGGTGGTGGGGGTGGGGGGGGGGGGAGCGGTGTGGGGGAAGATCGAGAGAGTAAGAAAAGGGCAAAAATAGAAAGATAAAAAGGAGAG